CTCTCTTCCCCAGGCCTGAGTGCAGCTCTCTTGTCCTCAAGGTAACCTACCATGTGCTGAATTCAGCTCTATACTTTCTTCCAAGTTAGATACAGATGAAAGGCCACAAACCTGAGATGTTAACCCTTTTGCTGTCTCAGCAGGTACTGCCTTTCCTGCTGAAAATTTACAGCATATTCAACCTTTATTTCAGATTTGCAACATCCACAGCAGCTTGCTTTTGCACAGTGCCTGTAACAGAGTGCATGACTTAAGAGTCAGGTCAAGAGAGAGGGCCTGCTGAAATGTTTATTTTATCTCTCTCTCTATCTTTCTTTCTCCTAAGGTTGTTATGGCTACATGCAGCAGTTTTTAGCTGTCTGAATGAATGAAATTGGACTGGACCTTCAGTGTGAGAAAAGTAGGGCAGGCTGGGAAGCAAGAGTTCCAAGGTCATTCTATCAGTAGCTTGCTCATCACATTAGATAGCAAAACGAGGGTATGCGGGGAGTTGAGAAGGAGCATGAAAAAGGAACATGCTGTTATCGTCAATGTTCAAGCTGATGCTAGACTCCACAGGCTTTATCACAGATAACCTCATAGAGAGAAGCGTTATCACATAGGAGCATAGGCCCTCTGGCCTGTTCTGCCTTTCAATAAGATCATGACTGATCTGTGGCCTTACTCCATAAGCCTGACTTGAGCCCACATCCCTTGATACCCTTGCTTAATAAAAATTTGTCTATCTCAGATTTAAATTGAACAATTAAATTAGCATCCACTGCCAATTGAGGAAGAGAGTTCTAAACTTCCACTACTCTTTGCATCTCTCCTGAATGGCCTGACCCTAATTCTTAGACTGTTCCCCTGGTTCTAGAAACTTCAAACAGTGGAAATATTTTATATAAAATATCTTTATCTGCCCTGTCTTTCCCTGTTAATATCCTGAAGAACTCCATTAGATTAGCCCTTAACCTTCTGAATTCTAGAGAATAAAGTCTTAATTTGTCTAATCTCTCCTCGTAACCTAACCCTCAAAGTCCCGGTTTCATCCTTGTAATCTTGTGTTCAACTTGCCTCAGTTCCAAAAACATCCTTCTTTAGGCCTGGTGCCCAGATCTGCTCACAGTACTCAAAGTGGGGTCGAACTAGAGTTTTGTATAATTGCAACACAACAATTGCATCGTTATACTCTAACCCTTTAGATGTGAAGGCCAGTAGTCTATTTGCTTCCTTGACTATTTTCTGAACCTTTTTGTGGTATTTTAAAGAGCTATCCACCTGAACTCCAAATTAGTTAGGCATCCACTGTATTTAACTTGGCACCTTCTGAAAAATACCCTGATATAACCTTGGTTGTCCGAAATGGATAACCTCACACTTGCTTATACTAAAATCCATCTGCCACAGTTTTGCCTATTCAGTGATCTACCAATAGCCTGTTGTAATTTTACACAGTTGTCAACATTGTTTATGATGCTGCCTAATTTTGTGGTGTGAGCAGATTTAAATATTTGACTTTTTATGCCATTATCCAAGTTATTTGTGAATATTGTGAATAATTGAGGCTCCAACACAAATCCATGCGGGAGACCACTAGTCGCATCCGCCAATTTGAGTACTTATCCATTCCAACTCTCTGTTTCCTGCCACTCAAACAATTTCCCCACCACAAATGTTAGGCTGGCTGGTCTGTAATTCCCTGGTTTCCCTCTGTTATTTTCCTTAAAGAGTGGGGTGACATGAGCAAATTTTCAATCCATAGGTATAACTCCTGAATCCAGGGAATGCTGAAAGATTATGGTTTAGGTATCGGCAATGTACTCTCCTACCTCCTCTACAACCTACAGATGGAAATCATCAGGTTCTGGAGTTTTGTCACTCTTCAAATCCATTCATTTTCTCATTATTGATGATTTACTTAAGCTGATTTTATTTAGATCCTGTCTTTGATTCTCTGTTAATTTCTTTGGGACTTCCAGGAAGCTATCTTCCTTTTCTGTTATGAATACTGAAGCAAAATAATCAATTAGCATGTCTACTGTTTCTCCTTGGTTTTGACAATAATCCCACTCTCCACCTTCAGTAGACCAACAATATTCTTTACCAGCCACTTTTCATATAACTAGAAATTCTCTTCTTATTTCTGCAGGGCTCAAGAGGGATAGGCGTTCTTAACCCCTACTAGTTCAGCATTGTCTTCTTCTATTTTGTGCTACCTTGTCCTGCAAGAAAGAGGACAGAGTGTCAGTGATTTTGACGCACTTTGTTTTGGTGACGTAGACGCCATAGCTGAATGGTTGGAGGTTTGTGGAGGCAACGAGAAGTAGTTGTGAAATTGGCAGCATTGTTGAATGTGTAAGGGTGAGAATAGGTGGCTGCTCAATTTGGGTCCTCGGTGCCAGGAGTTGCTGATGGTGAGTGATTGGTGTGGTGCATTGAGCAGGATGAGAAGTTGCTGTTTTCTTGGGGAGGAGTTGTCACATAAAAGTGCATTCAATGACCTTGACCATTCATGTGAGGTCGTTAGACCTCCCGCACTACTGCTGCCAGGTTCTCATATTTAGAGGATTCCCAGGTGTTCCTTTGCCCATCGGCTCCCATTTTGATCTGAAGGTGTTATTTGAGTGCCTATTGGATCTGAGTGGAAGTGTGGCACCCATCTCACTTCCAGCCTATCTCTGACTCCAATGCTCCAGTGTCAGCATTCATTATCCTAGATTCTTCTCTCAGCCATGGTTCCATCTTTTTAATCCAGGTACATTATTCAGTACAGCCTTCCTTTAAAAGGGACATCAATCTTCAAGAGCAGAGTGCTACATCACAACACTATCCAGCCTCCTGCTGAGCGTAGAGACTACCAATTGTGGGGAACTGCTCAGTATTTTGCAACAGTTGGATAGATGAGATGGAAGCAACAACGTGGCATGCTAATTTTCCCAAGTAAACTGCACAGGTTGTGAGTTATGACAGATGAACCCAAAACATGGGGCAAATTAACTTTCAGCTCTGCACCTTTTGTCTTCTACACCCCTTAATCTGTTCAAAAGTAATTAATAGATGTTGCAGGTGTTGTACCTGTATGATGTGGTTCATAGTAACCACATCTGTAGCAAGTGTTGGTTGCTTGAGGAATTCCTGTTCAGACTTGATGAGCTGGAGTCTGACTTCCACCCATTATGACACACCACGGAGGGGGAGAGTTACCTGGACACTGTGTTTCAGAAGGCAGTGACATCTGTGATATTAACTACCTTGAGTGTGGTCAGTGGTCAAGGACAGAAGAGTGACTATGAGTGAGGCAGATAGAAGGATCCAGAAGGTAGTGTTTAAGGAACTTCAGCCTTTGAGATTGTCTAACAGGTTTGAGATTCTTGCTTCCTGTGTGGATGAGAATCGGGTCTGTAGGGAGGATGAGCAAACTGACCATAGTACAGGGAGCCATTCAAGAGGGGGAAGAAAAGACAAATGTAGTTGTAATCAGGGATTGTATATTTGGGGAAATAGATACTGTTCTCTGCAGCCAGCGGGTGCAGCACGGTGGCTCAATGGTTAGCACTGCTGCCTCACAGCACCAGGGACCTGGGTTTGATTCCACCCTCAGGTGACTGACTGTGTGGAGTTTGCACATTCTCGCACTGTCTGCATGGGCTTCCTCCGGGTGCTCTGGTTTCCTCCCACAGTCCAAAGTTGTGCAGGCTAGGTGGATTGGCCATGCTAAGTTGCCCATTGTGTTCAGGGATGTGTAGATTAGGGGATGGGTCTGGGTGGGATGCCCTGAGTGTCAGTGTGGACTTGTTGGGCCAAAGGGCCTGTTTTCACACTGTAGGGATGCTATGATGCTATATGGTTGAGGAGTGAGGTCAGATTCTAAACCAGGCCTCACAGCTAAAATGCATTGTCTGACCTGGGATGTCACATCTGGTATACCGAGGGAATTGATAAAACCTTTAGGTAACTCAGGAAGGTAACTTTTTGGGAATTTGCATATTAATCCTTTCTAACTCATTAAAGATTTTACAGCCATCTTAGGTTTGTTCAACACCGCATCAGTTCTATGACCATTTGATCTTTTGCTTATAAATTCTGTGTCCAATGTCACCTCTCTCAGTGACACCTGAAGAAGGAGCAAGACTCCGAAAACTTGTGTCTTTAAATAAACCTGTTGGGCTATAACCTGGTGTCGTGTGATTTTTGACCTTGTCCACCCTAGTCCAACACCGGCATCTCCACATCAGGAATATACGCAGCGATAGACTTGATTACAAAGCAGATCCAAAAAGGAATATCTCCAGATTATTACCTGCACCACAAGCTAATTGGCACAGGGTCAACAAGTTGAAAGAGGTAAACACACGGTTATAGAATTGTTGGTTAGTGGTGGGATTGATTGCACCAGAAAAATAGAAGGAAGGGAGTGCATGTGTGAATGTCAAGTTATACAAAAGAGCCACAAAAGTGTAGGGAACTTCAATATAAGACCAAACTTAAAGGTTTTATATGTTAATGCACAAAGCATTTGGAATAAAGTAAATGAACTGATGGTGCAAATTGAGGTAAATCAAGGTCACAAGGACTTTAAACGAGTTAAAGGTAGTGGGAAGGCTCAAGAGAGGTTATTAAAGTTTCCAGAACAAGTGATAGGACAGACAGTATCGAAAGGGTCAGGAATCTAACTTCAGACATAGCAGATATGAGAATAACTATGAAAAGGGTGGGTGGTCAACACAAGACAGAGGGTGTTGTACTTAAATATGCTCCATACCGAAAGCAAGGTAAATGAACTGTAGTGCAGATTGAAATTGACGGGTACAATTCTTTTGGGCATCACTGAGACATGGCTGCAAGGGGATAAAGGCTGGGAACTAAATACCCAAGAATACACGTCCTATTAAATTGTCAGGCAGATGTGTGGGGAGGTGAGAAGAGTTTTGCCTTGTTAGTAAGAAATGAAATTAAATTGATAGCAAGAAGTGATATAAAACTAAAAGGCATAGAAACCACATGGTTATAGTGGAGGAACCACAAAGGAAAAAAGACCATAATGGGAGAAGTGTACAGGCCTCCTATTCATAGTCAGATGTCGTTCTGAAAATAAATCAAGAGATAGTAAAGGCATGTAAGACACGCACTATTACAATAATCTTGGGGGACTTCATATTGCAGGTGGACTGGGAAAATCGTGTTGGTAGCAGATCCCAAGAAAAGGCACAACAATGCCTCCTGTTCATCAGGAGGCTAAGGAAGTTTGGCATGTCCATAAACACTCTTACCGATTTTTGAATTGATGCACCACAGAAAGCATTCTATCCAGATGCATCACTGCTTGGTATGGCAAATGCTCTGCCCAGGACCGTAAGAAATTACAGAGAGTTGTGAACACAGCCCAGTCCATCACGCAAACCAACCTTTCATGTATTGACTCCATCTATACTTCTAGCTGCCTTAGGAAGGCAGCCAAAATAATCAAAGATCCCTCGCACCCCACTTATTATCTCTTCCAACCTCTTCTGTTGGGCAGAACATACAAATGCTTAAACACACATACCAACGGATTCAAGAACAGTTTCTTCCTCACTGTTATGAGACTTCTGAGTAGACATCTCAAATTTTAAATTTAATGTTGATCTTGCTCTGTGTGTACCTTCTCTGCAGCTGTAACATTGTATTCCTCACTCTGTTCTATTAATCTTATGCACTTTGTATGGTATAATCTGCCTGAACTGCACACAAAACAAAACATTTCACTGTACCTAGGTACATGTGACAATAATAAATCAGATCAAAACCTCGACTGTAGGGAAAGTTTCTCCCTGTCTACTCCTCTCATTACTTTGTAAAGCTCAATCATGTCCCTCCTCAGCCTTCTCTTCTCTGAGGAAAACAACTCCAGTCTATCAAGAACAAAAACAGAAATTGCTGGAGAAACCCAACAGATCTGGCAATATCTGTGGAGAGGAGAGCAGTGGGCAGCATGGTGGCTCGGTGGTTAGCACTGTTGCCTCCCAGTACTTGGGACTTGGGTTCAATTCCATTCTCCGCAATGGTCTGTGTGGAGTTTGCACAATCTCCCTGTATCTGTGTGGGCTTCCTGCAGGTAGTCTGGTTTCCTCCCACAGTCCAAAAATGTGCAGGTTAGGTGGATCAGCCATGCCAAATTGTCCATAGTGCCTAGGGATGTGCAGGATAAGTGGATTAGCCATGGGAAGTTTGGGTGGGATGCTCTTCAGAGGTTTGGTACAAGGCAAATGGCTTGCTTCCATGCTGTAGGGATTCTATTGTATGAACCTCTTTGGAACTGCCTCCAGTGCCAGTACATTTTCAACAAGGCATACAGTATGCTTGCCTTCATTGACCAGGGCATTGAGTTTAAAAATTGGCAGGTAATGTTGCAGCTTTGTAGGACCTTAGTTAGGCCGCATTTGGAATATTGTGTTCAGTTTTGGTCACCAGAAGGATGTGGTGGCTTTGGAGAAGGTACAGAAAAGATTTACCAGGATGTTGCCTGGTATGGAGGGCATTAGCTATGAAGAGAGGTTGGAAAAACATAGGTTGATCTCACCGGAACAACGGAGGTTGAGGGGGCGACCTGATAGGGGTCTACAAGATTATGAAGGGCATGGACAGACTGGACAGTTAGAAGCTTTTTCCCAGAGTGGAAGAATCAGTTACTATGGGCCAAAAATTTGAGGTGCGAGGGGCAAGGTTTAAAGGTGATGTACGAGGCAAGTTTTTTACACAGAGGGTGGTGGGTGCCTGGAGCTCGCTGCCAGGGGGAGGTTGTGGAAGCAGATACGATAGTGACTTTT